TGCTTCTTCATACTTCCTATTAGTCCTCACTGGTTAAAATGCTGATTGCTATGGAATCAGCTCTTACAGAAACTGCACTTTTCCTTAAACTTCCTCCTCATACTTTCGCATTCCCAAGCAACTAAAATTTGCAGTTATGCCTTTTCCCTTTGACCTCTCATCTTTGAGGCTCCACTCCTGTCTGCATCTTTCACTTGGTGATCCTGGCCTTGTCCCTTCTGGCTTCATTGCTGTTTCCTTAATCCCCTCCTCTGACACTCATGCCTCTCTTCACATTGCTCTTCTTTGGCCTGGAATGATTTATTTCCAGTGTGCTAAATAAGACTTCTACAATCTCGTTTCAAGCCCTCTTTCTTTAAATTTTTGGCTTCTGTTCCTAGGCCACCTGATCTCTATTCCAATAGCATCCTGTTTGTTTAAAGCAGGACTGCTCAACTTTGGAAGCCCCGGGGGCCACAGTGATACTCTCAGCAAATGCCAACGGCCACAACCTAAGTGTGAATGCATATACATGCAAACATATGCTCATAGCTTCTTTCACGCTGACAGGCATGAATACAAAGATTAAAGCAAGACTACACAACACGCAGGCCCCATTTAAGTCAGTTCTGCTGATATTAATAAATGAAATATTTACCGGAATTGTACCCATATGACAGCACTTTTAATGAGCAGTGATAGTGCAGGAATTTATCTACTAAAACTCATTATCAATAGAAGGCCATTAAATTGACTACTCTTTTGTTTTGGTTCCCCCCCCTGCGGTGCCGTGTTGAGCCCTGTGTAAATCCAAATACCACTGCAGGCCACAAACACACAGGCTGTGGGCCACATGTGACTGGCCATGTGGTTTAAAGGCTAGCAATCCCGCAGTCTGATCTTGTAGCTCCATGGCACGTTACCATTCTGTACCCTGTAACCCTGTCATTCTTGACTCTCTTCATTGGTAGATCTCAAAGCACTTTCCCCAGTGTGGGGAGCCCTTGCTATCCCTGTTTTGCTGCAGATAGGGAGCCTGAGGTATAATCTAAGCCTGAGCTGTTCCACAGCATTCAGTGGAGCCACATACAATTGGTCAACTTTTTCCTCAAAAGGAGTTTAACTAAAACTTTCATGGAAATGCCCTCAATTTGGTCTAATCACTCTGATTTTTATCAAATCAATGTTAACTTTTGGTTAACTCCTGAACTTGTGAAAGCACCAAAAAAGTATTCTCTAGTTATGATTTTCATGGGGGAAAAAGTCTTTACAGGAAATGTTGGGGGAGAAACAAAATCCTATGGGGGAAAAAATTGGCACTTCTCAACCAGTTCTACAGCTGCTCTGAATTCTGCTAATGATCTGGGTTTAATATTATAAACTGCTGTGCACTCTCTGGCAAGCTGTACCTAAGTCTCATGGCAAGACTTGCACTGTAGCATCAGAAACTGAAATTTCTGACAGTTTCCAAATTCTCTTTAAAAATGATGTTTTAATCCTCGTGTGAAAACAATCCAGTATTCCTGGTTTTCAGTCTGCTTATTTGAAGAATTCCCCCCCTCCCCCAGCTTTTCAATGTATTTCACTATCCCTCTCCACCCCCACAACAAAATCTGGTGCACAAACCTGCATCATGGCAATTGTTAGGATGAGCTGGATTTGGGCTGTTGTCCCTATCAACAGGGAAATTAGGGAAGTATGGGAAAGGAATATAGTTCTTTAGTACGCAGAAAGCTTTTGGTACTGGGGAAGGAATGGATTCCTTCCCAACAGGGTCAGAAGTGACTAAGACTTTGAAGGTGAAATTCATATATCTCAATCTAACTTCTTTCATCTGGCCACACCTCCCAAATTATGGGCAAACCCAGTAGCTGTATGTTTCTGCTTCAGTCAGCTGCTAACTACTTAATAGGTCATTTGGGTTCCTGGATGGAGGCTGCCTCCATTGGCATTTCAGGATGTTGCAATTTTAGGAGTAACATTTGCAACATTGTCTTCAGCTGAACCCAGAGCTCATAAATACAAGATTGCTCAGGAGAGGGAGCTGCAGTTGCTCATATGCAGGGCTCTGCTCGCCAGCCGCGCTGTCCGGCGATCTGCGCATGTGCAGATTGCCCGAACCTGGCTCTTCCATGCCACGGGCGAGTAGATTGTAGTATTTGTTGAGCCCTGCTCATATGTACTGAAGGAGACATTGTGAAGTAAACTTGATACAAACCAAGCAGATATTAAACTTTGATTAATCAGCTAATCAAGTAGTTGATGGAATTTCCATTGACTACCAGCTGCACTGCTGCCTTTTTAAATGTAATAAGAGCCACAGGCGGCTATTACTGCATTTCAACAGCAGAGGTGCAGCAGGAAACTCACAGGGTTCCTGCTACATTTCAAAGGCAGAGGCACAGCAGTGAGGACCTTGTGCAAGCAATTTTCTCTCTCTACCTCTGCTTCCCCCAGCCCCCCCTGGAGATGGT